GACACCGCGAAAGCAGCGACCACACCTGTCACAATGCGCGGCACAACATCCCTCCGCCGATGCCGACGTTCCGGTAGTTCCAGGTGGCACTGCGGCATCCACCGTTGAGGCACACACATGCTGGACCAAGCCACCGCGGCTCCTCAGCCACCGCCCACACCGCCCGCACTGACTGGCGCCCCGCTGCTCAGACACAGGCCGCGCACGCTCCTCCAGGCACTTATGCCGAGCCATGTCTCCTTTCCGTGCAAAATCCCGTCCGCATACCGTACATACCACTCGGGGCGGAGGCTCAGGCACATTGTCAGGCTCTTGGTAGGTGTTGCGCCACTCCGCGCGGGACTCACATGCAACATCATACCATGATGCCTCCACGCCACGGGCACGTAGATCCCGGACAGCACAGTCCTTCCATCTGCGGCGTGGGCCATGTGCTGGGCGACGTTGCAAGAAGGAGCCAAACAGTACCTGTTTTGGGATGCGGTTGTCCGGCATCCGCGCCACATGCCCCAACCACTCCAACCGCCGATGTGCAATTTTGTCTTTAATCGTCTCGGAGTCTCCCCAGCGCACCAGCAGCTCTTCGTTGGTGATGTGTTCGTCCCACATCCGGCTTCGAGAGACCCCGAGGATGGATCGGATGCACCTCACACACACACAGACACACACACACCATTGACCATTGGACGCCCATCGCCAGAGGCGATGATAGCGATGCTACAGCAGAAGCCATAGCAACTTGTGCTGGGATTGCACCATTCAACAGCTTGCAAGGCTGAAGAATTGACCACCACTATTCAGCCTGGTCTACACCACACAGCTCTGAAGTGGCTTTTTTCTGGCCAGTGAATCCCTACTTTTTGGTCTTTTTATTTTTTTCCCGCACACACATCACACCACATACTCCGGCATGCACTGGCTGTTGGTAACCACCCAGGAGAATGAAAGAAAAGTCAGGAAGAGTCTGAGAAAGAGAAGAAAGACGTGTGTGACCATAATCGTCGGACACACACACACACACACACACACACACACACACCTCAGACCTCAGACCTCAGACACACACACACACACACACACACACACACACACACACACACACACACACCTCAGACCTCAGACATGCCCATCGCGGAAGCGATGATAGCGAACAGCTATGTTAGACATAGCAACTTGTGCTGGGATTACACCATTCAACAGCTTGCAAGGCTGATGAATTGACCGCCACTATTTTTAGCCTGGTATCCACCACACAGCTGTTTGAAGTGACTTTTTCTGGCCAGTGAATCCCTATTTTTCATTTTTCCATTTTTTTTCTACACACACACACCACACCACACACGCACGCACGCACGCACGCACGCACGCACGCATGCACGCACGCACGCACGCACGCACACACACACACACACACACACGATTTACACCCAAAACAGCGCAACCATAAACGGCGCGTGTTCATATTAGCACCCCCAGTACAGCGCGACCTAATGTGACACTGTGTCACTACAGCTCGTCTCATTTCTTGCACGCCCCATTTCGGCGCGACCAATTACGTTAACGTCCGAATATAAGCCAGCTCATTACACACGTGACCCATAATGTGCAGGCTCATGTTAGCAAGAGTACATAACCAGTTTTATGTACTCTTGATGTTAGTATTACCATGGTGGATATCAGGAGCAAACCCGTTCCTAAAAAAGATATGCAAAAAAGAGAAGAAACACATGAGAACGAGTTGTGCAGCAACTATCCACGACTGTAACAAGATGATAAACAGTCAGAAAGTGACTGTGCGATAATAGGGCACGAAACTGACAGGCCACTGAGACATTCAGCGGCCCAAGACCTAGCTCTAACACATCTCCAGTGCGCATAAATTGAGTCCAGGCAATATCGCCCTTCTGACTGGCTGGCCATTTCGAGTTGATCATGATTTGAGTCTTTGACAAGTCGAGTGTCCATCTTTTGGGTTCGAGTGTAAATGAGTCGACCTGTATTGAGCGTGCGCGCTGACGGGGTGGTCTGTTTTGGGGATGTCCAGTTATGGGGATGGGGCTTTTGGGGGGCGCTGAAGTCAACGGCGCTGTTTTGGGTCGCGCTCATGTGGGGGCATACCACACACACACACACACACACACACACACACACACACACACACACACACACACACACACACACACACACACACACACACACACACACACACACACACACACACACACACACACACACACACACACACACACACACACACACACACACACACACACACACACACACACACACACACACACACACACACACACACACACACACACACACACACACACACACACACACACACACACACACACACACACACACACACACACACACACACACACACACACACACACACACACACACACACACACACACACACACACACACACACACACACACACACACACACACACACACACACACACACACACACACACACACACACACACACACACACACACACACACACACACACACACACACACACACACACACACACACACACACACACACACACACACACACACACACACACACACACACACACACACACACACACACACACACACACACACACACACACACACACACACACACACACACACACACACACACACACACACACACACACACACACACACACACACACACACACACACACACACACACACACACACACACACACACACACACACACACACACACACACACACACACACACACACACACACACACACACACACACACACACACACACACACACACACACACACACACACACACACACACACACACACACACACACACACACACACACACACACACACACACACACACACACACACACACACACACACACACACACACACACACACACACACACACACACACACACACACACACACACACACACACACACACACACACACACACACACACACACACACACACACACACACACACACACACACACACACACACACACACACACACACACACACACACACACACACACACACACACACACACACACACACACACACACACACACACACACACACACACACACACACACACACACACACACACACACACACACACACACACACACACACACACACACACACACACACACACACACACAAGGAGAGAGAGACAGATAGAGAGAGATAGATAGATAGATAGATAGATAGAGAGAGAGAGAGAGAGAGAGAGAGAGAGAGAGAGAGAGAGAGAGAGAGAGAGAGAGAGAGAGAGAGAGAGAGAGAGAGAGAGAGAGGGGACTACATGAGGCATCTTGCTACAGGGACAGAAAAACAGAACTGACAGCAATACCTTGTTGCTTTCCTCGTGTGTCTTGAGCTTGTGGAGCACTTCGTTGCGCAGCTTGCCATCCACTTTTTCATCCGACCATAGCGATGTGACATAGTCCTTTCCACGCAGCCTCGCCTCTAGGAGCGGAAAATGTCGCTTTATTGCTGCTCGATACTTGTCACCCTTGGCTGGTGAGACAGATGATAGTCACACGAGAGGACACGAGAACAGAGAAGACACAGAGAATCATACAACCAGACCTGCAAAGATAGACAGTCACGCTCGCGAATAACGACCTGGGGTATAACAAGTGCAGTCAGATCTCGCTTAACCGCACACATCCGTTTCCAGAAAATATCCGGATAGGCGAGGGAACCGGATAATCGAACACCTACTGTATGTGTGCATGGCATATGCTGTAAATCGGTAACCAAAGGTTTTTTTCCGGATTGCGACGGATCCGGATAAAAGAGGACAGGATAAGCGAGGTCTGACTGTTCTCGCGAACAACGATATCGGGTATTCCCCTTCATATCTACTTGGTCCGACTTATTAAAATGTGCGCTTCACTTCAAAACTCAAGCATTTGTACAAAGGAGCACCTGCACTAAAAATCAACCAAGAGGCGGTAGATAGATAACTACTGTGTCGTTTCTTGGCCTAACCTTCTAGTTTTCATTGCTGCTGGTGTCTCAGGGCGCACTTGCAAGTGCGTCCCCTGCAAAACGTCGACCTTTTTTTTCATCTCCAAGCTACGCTGTGCTTCCTTGATTTTTCACTCCATACGCACGATTTAGACGATCGGCTTCGCCTCCTCGTGCAGTACGGCTGCTAGAATGGTGGCTCTAGGTGTTTTCGCCTGACGCTCCCGCGACACCTTCAAATGAGACGAACAAGTACACCACCGCGCATAATAATCACTTCTCATCACCGTGTGCTGCGCGCGTATTGATAATAATTAGTCTGATCTGTGTCGACGTATCATGCAGTCAGACCATGCGTGCTCTTCCCCGTTTTACAAATCCACTGGCCCCGGAGACGTACTAAACGGGCGATCTTGTGACGGAGCTTTAGCGTAAGCTCCGAGTAAGCTCCGAGAACTCCTCACCATTCACGCACCGTATCCGCGGAATAATTCACCCTTTCTGCACTTCAGTTTTCAAGCCAGGTTGTTGCCTGAGAGGCGACCTCAGGGGTGGTTTTATATTTCGATCAACTTCTCGGCGATCTCTTCTGTAATCTTGTTTCGTCGGCCGCCACATCGTGAACTAGTGCGAGAGCGATCAGCAAACTGGACGGAGCGATGCTGGTGCTTTCTGCACCAGTTTCTGGATTACGCGTTTGCTGAAATTCTGCCAAGGAAACAGTGACTGCAGCGATTTCAATCCACCAGGAGGCACTCGAGAACGATCGCCCAGGAGTTTTGGTACTCCGTGACAATCCTCCCCCGCGTCGGGGTGTTGCTTTTAGCACTAGGCCTTCTCTGTGTTCCGCGAGAAGCAACAGGAGTCCTCTGACGACAACATTTGGACGTGAAATGCTCGAGTCGACTAGGACATTGAGGCGCTGCCTCCTTTGGAGTTGGACCTATTTCTTCTTCAACATCACAAATCAACAGCTGAAGGACAGTGTTAGGGTAGCTGGAAAGTTTATTCCGTCCTGAGACGATTTGAATTTGTTTGGTTGACGTTCGAAGCGAAGCGCACACTTTAATAAAAAGCAAAAAGGACCAAGGAACTACAAGTTACAATAATTATAATGTCCACTAACACCACCAGTTACTAAACAATCATCTCACGCGGTCAGTGTCGTGCAATGTTACCGCATGAGCTGATCGTTTAGTAACTGGTGGTGTTAGTGGACATTATATTGGTTCCTTGGTCCTTTTTACTTTTTATAAATAATCCTTGGCTCTCCATCCGAGTACATTTGTAATAAGTAGGGCCGAGTAGTTCATTATACCTGTAGCTGTTGCCGGTGTCGGTGCTGCTCTTGCTACTGCTGCTGCTGCTTGTGGTGTGTTAGCCTGTCCTTGAGATGGCGGGTTGTTTTCTACTACCTCGACGCTCAGAGGAACTGCACCGTTCTGTCCAGTGGCAGTAGCTGCAGCTGAGAGAAACACAGGTCAGTTCAGAAAAAAAACACAGATACGTTCAGGGAAACACAGAGAAACACAGTGAAATCTCAGGGAAAACTCAGGGAAACACAGGGAAATCTCAGGGAAACACAGGGAAAACTCAGGGAAACACAGAGAAACACAGTGAAATCTCAGGGAAAACTCAGGGAAACACAATGACTTGAATTCGGGGTAACACATGAAAGCACATGGAAATACGGGAAACAAACTGACTTGAATTCAGGGAAACAAACTGACTTGAATTCAGGGAAACAAACTGACTTGAATTCAGGGAAACAAACTGACTTGAATTCAGGGAAACAAACTGACTTGAATTCAGGGAAACAAACTGACTTGAATTCAGGGAAACAAAGGGAAGCTCAGGAAAACACAGGGGAATTCATGGAACACAGGGAAATAATGCTTCAGGGAAAAAAGGAAATTCAGGGAAACAGCAAAAATACAGGAAAGTTGAGGAAAAAATGAGGAATTCATGCATATGGCATAACTTGTTGTTGTTGTTTTTTCCCGACCTTTTCAGCTGCCATTTGCCCTGATCATGCCTCATGTGTGTTTTACAGCATAGTACGTTCCGGCTCGTTTTCTTCTTCAACACAAGCTGTATCACTTTGTTCTTGCCTGTACAAGAGAGGCTGTACTAGTTGTTCGAAAAAAGAAAGAAAAAAAGGAGAATCCAGGATCACACCCATTCCTGGTATTACATGTACAGTCAAACCTCGATAGGACGAACTTCAAGAGACCGAAAAAGTTTGTTTGGCTTATTCGGAGTTCTCCTTATCCAGATCTGACAAAAAATTGACATGTATATCATATGGATTGTATTTACGTGAAGGTGGATGCTGTGGCAAATGTAAAACATTTTTTTCATAACATAACCCAGCAACAGGTAAGTACAATGTGCAATGAATTCATGACAGCATTACATCCACCTTGTAACATGTTTTGCCAGTACAAGAGGCCTCGACTATCGGAAAAAAAACTACAGCCAGCGTACCCACGGGGACCGAAAGTTCGTACTACACGCTGATTTTGTGCAAATCACGCTTGAAATTAGTTCGTCTTCACGAAAGTTCGCCGTGCAGAGTTCGTCGTAAACGAATAATTTCGACTTGATACGATGCCTGGCCAACCATAGGATTGACCCAAGTTCGTACTAAAAGAAAGTTTGCATTATCAGTGTTTGCATTATCAGTGTTTGCATTATCAGTGTTTGTTCCAACGACGTTTGACTGTACAGTTACAGTTTTTTTTCTTCATTTATTTTCATTTTATTTTTTACAAAATCCACATAATTATTATTATTTGATAACCGCAATCAATTATTATTATTAATATTATTAACTGGTTTGAGGGAAAGAGACAAACGGGAAAAGTCTGAAGAAAAAATTGACTGTCACCACCAGGACTCGAACCAGGGACCCTCGCTTGTAGCCAGCGATGTTCTAATGGTGCAGTCGTCATCCCAGCAGAGGCCGTCCAACATTTTCTTCAGACTTCCATTATTATTATTACGCACACACTCATGGCCAGGGCCAATCAAGGAGGAGGTGAGGGCGATTATAGCCAGCCATGGCATATCTCCAGGCACTGGGTTACACTGGATGACCAGGCATCCCTAGCTTGCAACCGCATACTCCCGGCGTCACATACCCTACACACCACGGGTACATACACACAACGGTGGCATGTATCTGCCAGGTGTTTTAAGTACAGAAAAAAATGAGTTTACCTGACCCTGTAGCGGAATCCTGTATTGCAGTGCTGCCAACCTTTCCAGGATCGATCAGCTACAAACATGTACAGTCAACTTCGCTTATAACGACATTCGGCGGGGCATCAGAAAAGTGTCCTTATTCGCGAAGTGTCCTTATAACCGAAGTCCCATTTGAATGTATGTGAACCCATATTTTGTATAGTATGACATGCATATCAAAATCAAGCTCTTTTCTTGCTCTATGTCAATGTGTACTTTATTTTCATATTGCAGTTGAAAGGAACTAAAA